GCTGTTAGGGTGAAGCGATGGCCAGAGGCTTTCTGAACTGTTCTCCCTGTGGCTGTCTCCACTAACTTTTAAGAAACTTGCCTGAGAGTGCTTGTTTCTGCTTGTGTCTGGCAAGGATTTCAAATGGGACAAAAGCGGTAGCACTGGGGTGCTGGGAGGGCAAGGGAGCATAATGCTTTCTAAGAGGCCTTTAATGCTTGGTAAGCTACTTCTGCTCTCGGATCATCGGTTTAATAATTAAAGCTTCTTTCTACATATGCATGAATGTTATTTTCATTAGTGCCGTTCCAAACTTAAACCTTTTTCATTTGTAGCAAGTTGAAACCATCTCACTATTCTTCCATGCTGTCTTCTGGCTGCTGTTGCCATGCTGGGGCCTTGGGGTCCTCCAGGCAGTTCAGGGCATAGCCACTCGCTCACCGGTTATTGCTGACTGCTCTGCAGTCGCCTTCTGATGCCCTCCTCCCCAGGAACCAGATCTGAAGTTTTATCCTGCCTCAGAGCTTCAAGCCGAGTCGGGATTTGCTATTCCTTTCCCATGGCAGCATGGTAGATAATGAGGATGAAGCTCACCGTTACTTATCCAGTGATACACGGTAGGGTTTAGCTGGCCAGTGTCTTCAGTCCGCACTACCATTCACCCCCATGTGTGTTTAATCGTCTCTGAACACATTCTGAGTACAATAATAGTGCACCTGATGATTATCGCTTTCTCTCCTGGATCCACCTGTCGTCCGTTACTTTTTCATACCCTCAGCTTTCGTAACAGCTCGCTTTGCTAGCAGCACCCCGAATTCAGTTCATGCTGTATGTATTTAGATGCCATACTTGGGTGTTTCTTACTCTAAACATGCTTCCCCATGCCGTCCTCAAGGGTCTAATACAGACCTGTCTTTATGCTTTGGCTTACGGACATTGCTCCTTAGTTTTGTATTCAGTGACCTGTGGATCATACTCTCCTGTGAGTAGTATGGCGATGGTCATTAGGGTTTATAAGTTTTAGGCTCTTTATAATATGGCTTTAGCATACCAATAATGGCATTTCTGTTCCGTAGCCACAGTGTGAACCATTTTAGACTGATTTTTAGTGTTTAAAAACAGGTTTATGTGGAATATTTTCAGTAGTCTGTCTCTGAATTCAGGGTTGTCTCGCAATGCATGCGTCTTAAATAACCCCTTAAGGGTTTTGTATGTGTGGTTTTTATTTAATTTACCACAGGGGGAAAAAGAAGTGTAACAGTTTTTGTGCATGTTTTTTCAGGTCTGAAGTGAATTTTGTGTCCCAGCATTCCAAACAATGATCTGTTAAGACAAGTCAGTCATCCTACTTGTCATCCTACTTTTTTTTTTTTTTTTTTTTTTTTTTTTTTTAACTAAGGAGAGGTCTCTTCATCTTGCTTGTTCTGTTTGGTCCTTAGTGACACATTCTCCTGCTATTACTTTTCACTTGTACCGTGTCTGACTCTTGCTTGACCTTGCGTTTGCTGTTTTCCTCACTTTAATAGGAAGTGATAGTCGCTACTGAAGCTGAATACTACCTCGCGAGCTACCGTGTGACTGTTGTGTACTCTGGGTTTTAAAACTCTGGTGTGTAAAATAGTAATATTTGCTACATTCTACTGAATTATTTCCTCTGCTCTATCTCACCAATAACCTTTGTTGGACGTATGAACTGACATGTTTTCCTATGAACCTGTTGGTACGTCAGTGAATCATAGAATCATAGGATGTTTTGGGTTGGAAGGGACCCCTAGAGGTCATCTAGCCCAACCCCCCTGCAGTGAGCAGGGACACCGCTAACTAGATCAGGTTGCCCCAGAGTCCTGAGGTACAGTGTGATTCTAAGAAAATTCTAGACTAAATTCTGTTAATGTATAATTAATGGTATTGGGCAGATAGGACCCCAATAATGAGTAGGAAAAAAAAGGTTACAAGCTGGCTACTAGGAACTATTTAGTTTCCCCTGCAAGCGTGTCTGTGCTTTTCCTAGTTTATTTCCGCTAAACGTCCTTTAGGGTATTACAGAGGTCACCGTTTTCATCCCTGTCAAAAAAAAAACCTTTCTTCCCCTTCTCCTTCCTAAATTGTTCTGTGTGTTTGAAGCACAGAAAATATGTCATTTCTCTGCAGATATAAGGGAAGTGGCTTTGTTATACTGCGTGCCCAAATCCTTCCATAATCTGTTCTGTCTTTCAACAGCTATAAATATTTCACAACTTGGAAGTGCCTACCAAGCTTGTTTGGAGCATCATTTACTTGTAATTAAGTGTTTCCCAAGGAGATGCTGCTCTGAATCACAAGGAATGCTATAATTCTGTAACAAGAGGCCTGTAGTTGAATTGAGAATCAATAGTCTAATATTTTCGCTGCACAGGCATCCCGATTACACCTTCAACAAGTAAGCTTTGTGCCTTGGAGAAATTAATTGATAGTTCTTACTCGTGTTTTTTAACAGTTAAAATCAACGTGTCAGGATTCAGTATGCCATTCTTTCCCATATTTATGGGGAAAAAAAAGAAAAAAAGTGGTCTGCAAGCTAAAATCGGTGCTTGTAATGAAGTGGTACGTTCACTACCCAAGCTGGTAAGAATATCAGCACAGAAATGTGCTGCAAATAGCACCTATGGGAATGACAAATATTTAAATAAGAAACCTGATCAACCCTGTGAGATGGGTTGACCCTGGCTGGACACCAGGGGCCCACCAAAGCCACTCTATCACTCCCCTCTATAATCGGACAGGGGAGAGAAAAGTAGATCAAAGGCTCGTGGGTCGAGATAGGGACAGGTTCAACTTCACTCCCAGTTTTCTCTACCTACTTCCCCCCAGCGGCGCAGGGGGACAGGAATGGGGGTTGGGGTCAGTTCATCACACATCTCTGCTTCTCCTTCCTCCTCAGGGGAGGACTCTTCCCCTGCTCTAGCGTGGGGTCCCTCTCACCGGAGACAGTCCTCC